ATCCTTAACAGGATCGGCAGAATACTAGATGAAGGACAGCCATGCGAGCAAGCAGGGTTTCGAAGAGGGTTCAGCACGATCGACCATATCCACACGGTTACAAGACTCATTGAAGTTTCACGAGAGTACAAGATGCCGCTTTGTCTCACGTTCATCGACTTGAAGAAGGCCTTCGACTCTGTGGAGACAGAAGCGGTCATCGAAGCCTTGGGCAACCAGGGCGTCCCTACTCAGTACATCAAGATTCTTCGTGAGCTCTACAGCAACTTTACGACCAGAATCTCACCATTCTACAAGGAGGTCATCATCGACGTCAAGAGAGGGGTTCGACAGGGCGACACCATCTCGCCCAAACTCTTCAGCGCCGCTCTCGAGAACGTCATGCGTCAACTGGAATGGGAAGACATGGGAGTGAAGGTCGACGGCCGGCAACTACACCACCTTCGTTTTGCTGACGACATCGTTCTTATAACGCCGAACATCGAGCAAGCGGAGCGAATGCTGGCTGATTTCGACTGCGCCTGTGGTAAGGTTGGTCTACAGCTGAACCTAACGAAGACGATGTTTATGAGAAACGGATTGGTTCCTGATGCCCCATTCACGCTCAACGGAACGAACATCACCGAATGCTCCAGCTACGTGTACCTAGGTCGGGAAATCAATATGATGAACGATCTAGCTCCAGAGCTGAGCAGGAGGAAACGAGCGGCTGGGGAGCGTACAAGAACATCGAGGGAGTAGTGAAGAAGACGAAGAACATCCGGCTCCGTGCCCACCTCTTCGATTCCGCTGTCCTTCCTGCCCTAACCTACGCCTCAGAGACTTGGACTCTGCGCAGGCAGGACGAGCATGCGGTCAGCGTTATCCAACGCGCTGTCGAGAGGACGATGCTAGGAGTAACCCTGTACACGCAAGTGCAGAGGGGAATCCGGAGTGCCGAACTACGCCAACGATCGAAGATCAGGGACGCTGCCGTTTTCGCCAAGGAATCGAAGATAAGGTGGGCCGGACACGTCATGCGATTTTGCGATGACCGTTGGACCAGAGCGGTTACCGACTGGATCCCTCGGGACGTCAAACGAACACCTGGACGACCGCCGGGCCCGATGGTCAGACTTCCGAAGTCGAAGAAAAGGATATTGAAAGAGAACACCCGTGTCCTCGAGCGAGGGAGTACACTGGACATCTTGCACGCGAACTAAGGGATCGAAGGGAGACTGTTGCTGAGCGCCGCTCGAGCAATTTCGGATGAATCAATGGGACGATAATGAGATCAATATGCGCTTTGGTAACCTGAAAAGCTGTTCAGAATCGTGGAGGAAGCGGCTGACCAACTACAGAAAGAGTCTGAAAAGACAGGCTGCAAGAGTAGACTAGTGGTCGAAACATCGAGGAACCGTCCTCTTTGGACACTCCAACAAAGTTCCTAATCGATAATGAGATCAATATGCGCTTTGGTAACCTAAAAGCTTGTTCAGAATCGTGGAGGAAGCGGCTGACCAACTACAGAAAGAGTCTGAAAAGACAGGCTGCAAGAGTAGACTAGTGGTCGAAACATCGAGGAACCGTTCCTCTTTGGACACTCCAACAAAGTTCCTAATCGATAATGAGATCAATATGCGCTTTGGTAACCTAAAAGTTGTTCAGAATCGTGGAGGAAGCGGCTGACCAACTACAGAAAGAGTCTGAAAAGAGGCTTGACAAGAGATAGACTAAGTGGTCGAAACATCGAGAAACTTCTCTCAACAAAGTTCCTAATCGATAATGAGATCAATATGCGCTTTGGTAACCTGAAAAGCTGTTCAGAATCGTGGAGGAAGCGGCTGACCAACTACAGAAAGAGTCTGAAAAGACAGGCTGCAAGAGTAGACTAGTGGTCGAAACATCGAGGAACCGTTCCTCTTTGGACACTCCAACAAAGTTCCTAATCGATAATGAGATCAATATGCGCTTTGGTAACCTAAAAGCTGTTCAGAATCGTGGAGGAAGCGGCTGACCAACTACAGAAAGAGTCTGAAAAGACAGGCTGCAAGAGTAGACTAGTGGTCGAAACATCGAGGAACCGTCCTCTTTGGACACTCCAACAAAGTTCCTAATCGATAATGAGATCAATATGCGCTTTGGTAACCTAAAAGCTTGTTCAGAATCGTGGAGGAAGCGGCTGACCAACTACAGAAAGAGTCTGAAAAGACAGGCTGCAAGGGTAGACTAGTGGTCGAAACATCGAGGAACCGTCCTCTTTGGACACTCCAACAAAGTTCCTAATCGATAATGAGATCAATATGCGCTTTGGTAACCTAAAAGCTTGTTCAGAATCGTGGAGGAAGCGGCTGACCAACTACAGAAAGAGTCTGAAAAGACAGGCTGCAAGAGTAGACTAGTGGTCGAAACATCGAGGAACCGTCCTCTTTGGACACTCCAACAAAGTTCCTAATCGATAATGAGATCAATATGCGCTTTGGTAACCTAAAAGTTGTTCAGAATCGTGGAGGAAGCGGCTGACCAACTACAGAAAGAGTCTGAAAAGACAGGCTGCAAGAGTAGACTAGTGGTCGAAACATCGAGGAACCGTCCTCTTTGGACACTCCAACAAAGTTCCTAATCGATAATGAGATCAATATGCGCTTTGGTAACCTAAAAGTTGTTCAGAATCGTGGAGGAAGCGGCTGACCAACTACAGAAAGAGTCTGAAAAGACAGGCTGCAAGAGTAGACTAGTGGTCGAAACATCGAGGAACCGTCCTCTTTGGACACTCCAACAAAGTTCCTAATCGATAATGAGATCAATATGCGCTTTGGTAACCTGAAAAGTGTTCAGAATCGTGGAGGAAGCGGCTGACCAACTACAGAAAGAGTCTGAAAAGACAGGCTGCAAGAGTAGACTAGTGGTCGAAACATCGAGGAACCTTCCTCTTTGGACACTCCAACAAAGTTCCTAATCGATAATGAGATCAATATGCGCTTTGGTAACCTAAAAGTTGTTCAGAATCGTGGATGGAGGGCTGACATGATACTAAGAGGTGAAAGACAGGCTGCAAGAGTAGACTAGTGGTCGAAACATCGGGAAACCTTCCTCTTTGGACACTCCAACAAAGTTCCTAATCGATAATGAGATCAATATGCGCTTTGGTAACCTGAAAACTGTTCAGAATCGTGGAGGAAGCGGCTGACCAACTACAGAAAGAGTCTGAAAAGACAGGCTGCAAGAGTAGACTAGTGGTCGAAACATCGAGGAACCGTCCTCTTTGGACACTCCAACAAAGTTCCTAATCGATAATGAGATCAATATGCGCTTTGGTAACCTAAAAGCTTGTTCAGAATCGTGGAGGAAGCGGCTGACCAACTACAGAAAGAGTCTGAAAAGACAGGCTGCAAGAGTAGACTAGTGGTCGAAACATCGAGGAAACCTCCTCTTTGGACACTCCAACAAAGTTCCTAATCGATAATGAGATCAATATGCGCTTTGGTAACCTAAAAGTTGTTCAGAATCGAGGAGGAGCGGCGATGGCGATGAAAATGTGAAAGTAAAATTGCAAAGCGTGCAAGCAGCTGATCTCGAAACACTAAGCGATATTTCTGAGTACTTATGGAAATAGTAGTCGGTAAGAAGAATCAATACTGAATCCCAGTTTAATGCAAAGAAATAACCAATTCATGTTTACATGTCTAAACAGTCATTCTTCTAGTTTTTTTACCTTCAAATATCAACGGGCTATTGAATAGTTTGTTTTCTTTTAGTTTCCGAGTCAACTATGTCTCTCCGGATAAAAGAAAAGAAAGGCTGGTTCAGAATGAATATAAATCATGAAATCCGCGATAGGAGGAATGTGGTAAAAACGAACCTTCAGGATTTTCATAGTCGGAGTCATGCTCGGCGCCGCTGGAGCCGTCTTGGGCTTCCTGTTGGGAATCGGCAGGGGTCAGGTCTGCGGCGGTCGGTTCGGTTACGTCTCTCAGTATCCAATCGGTTGGAGACGATTCCGTCTGGATTCGGATCTGGCCACATAATGCAGTCAGTTCTAAAACTGAGATATTGGTGAACGGTTATTTATTCTTGGTTTTCATTTATACAAACGCACAATTATTATTATTTGCATGTTGGCCTAATGAATTGCATCAAGATGGAGGAATAGCAAACCCAAAACATAGTGGTTCATTGTAATCGTGTTGAGTGTTCAGCAAGGGCTGACGTTAGCGGGTCACATCACAGTGCAGCCGGCCGACGTGGAGCAGCAACTTGCGCGCCCATTTCACGTTACCCAAAGCCAAATTTCCACTTCTAACAAACGCGTATATAATTTTTAGATGTTGATGATGTTTGCTAACAGTAAATGGAACTGTGACATAGCCTAATTGCAAAAGAACACGGGTGATATGCACCGCCACAAGCTTTCCAACGTTACCGGCCTACCCAACAGCCCACAGCTAAGTGATCAGCTCCTTATAACATAATAATTGTTGATATTTGAATGCTAGAAAGATTTAATGTGAAATAGTGAGGCAACCTAAGGACACCCATGCCCCAAGGAACCTACACATGGGCAAACAGGTAGACCCGGAATCATGACGAAGTCGTAGAATCTCTCCAAGTAGCTAAACAGAAAGAACCGCGACGCAACCGCACGCAATGAACTAAGCGTCCAAATGAGACCAACGGCCAGAGCTCCAAATACCTTTTTCTGTCTCTTTTACCCGCCTAATTTGTGTCTAGTAGGACAATAGTACGTGTGGGTAGGTGTGTATGCTTCCAACTTGAGAAATATAATATTTTATTCACTCTCAATAAATAAATACTGCACGAAAAACCACGTGGGGCATTTAAAACCATGAACAAGGCACATCATCAGCCTATACAACAACAAACAACCGTGGGGGACACCCTTGGAATGAATAAATAAAACAAAAAATGCACAAAACGGCATTAGATCACATATGTAGTCCACTCTGGGATGCTCAGCAATATGTGAAGAGGAGGACGAGTAACGAACACAGCGTCAAGTCCTACAACTCAGACTTCTTCTTCTTTCCATCACGCGTGTAGCCCTTGAGACCATCAGTGGAATGCTTGGCGATGAAGTTAATGAAGTCATTCACTTCACGACCACCGTTGTAAGGCACTGGCTCCTTGGTTTTCTTTGGCAACCAGTAGAGAGTTGGGAATCTGCAACAAAGAAGTTCATTTTTTTTTAAATAAACCACTCCTTTAAATACTTATAAACAGTAAAAACTTACCCTCGCACTTCGAAGAGAGGAGGCACATCGTTTGCTGTGGCGTCCATCTTCACGATCAGAACGTCTTCTTTCTCTAGCTGCAAATCAAATACACTCAGACAAGAGCAACACATACTACGGTTTTATTTGTATTACCGTTTTAGCAAGTTCTTCGTATTTGGGTGCGAGAGCTTTGCAATGACCACACCATGGTGCATAGAACTCTACGAGAACATCCTTATCGGCTTCCATCACCAATTCTTTGAAGTTCCTGCCAACAGCAACCTGAATTATAAGTATGCACCTATGCACGCATCGCCTTTGCATATCCATGTGAAAACCCAAACAACCTTAAGTGGTTCGCTTTCATTGTTCTCGGGAATAGGCTCCGACTTCATGTAGGGATCCAGATTACCCGCCAATACGTCTTCGACGAACGCCTTGAGATTCTCTACGCTAAAAAAACAGTTAGCCAAGCATGTAAAGGTTGTTTTTAGTGGTAAAGATATTCCTAAGGGTTTATCTTTAGAAGTCCTACCTGAACTCGTCATCCATAGGGAATTTGCCGTCATTGGTGACAGCGGCGACGATGGGCTTATCCGAATCTTTACGTTCTGCGAGACCATTCTGATCAATTTCGGTAGTGAACTCCTCCTTGTTCGATACAGCGAAATGGACTTTCCTCTTGTAATCTTGCGCTACTTTGAGCACGCGATTTCGCCAGTAGTTTGACCCTATAACGTTACACTTGAGCAACTCGACGATTAAAATTCCCCCAAATAAGTTCAAAGATGCAATCCTTTGGTCCTTATACGACCACATTGTAGTAAACAATCACAAGAGGTTTCTGCTCGAATTGGAACAGGTTGCCCATTGTACGAATACCGGCCATTCCAACAGTATCGTGGATGAGGAAACTTTTAATCTTATCCGTATCGTAATTGCCATCATACTTGAACTCATTGGGGTCGAACTTGTTGTGAAGTTTCTTTGGCGTGTAAACCACAATATCGCTTAAATATTAGCAATTAAGAGAATCCATTTAAGATCATCGTATTTCTAACTTTTTCAAAACTATGTAGATGCTATGCAATTAGAAAAACCTATGTAATAGGTATCCCAAAGGTGCGGTCTGGTCATTGAACCAGTTTAATAAATATAGAGACCGGACGATAATCTTCAACATTCGCCCCAACTGTTTGCATTATCCTAAATCGTCATAACTCCCAGAAAGGCGAATGACAACGCCGAATGCCACCCGATCTTGGCTGACGACAAGAAGACGGCTTCCAACAATTTGACAATAGTGAGCAACATTAGCCAGTTGCAAATGAACTCAGTTTTTTCGTATTCAGTCAAGCGTCTGTAGCGCTTCCGAATCTTTCATGATATGAAGATAAAACCAGAAGAAGCATAGCAGATCCTGCAGCAAAGGGTTGGGAACATATGACAAGGCTCCTCATATTGTTTGAATTAAATTATTTGCTGCAGACAAAACGGCCTTTTCGCAGAGATACCGCTGTGTTCAAAGCGTAGTCGCCCATTCGACGAACACATAGAGGAGGCGGAGCCGCCTACATGAGAGGAGTCACAAATCTTAGTAATGGGTAGGTATCAACCCTGAAGATCTGATGATCTATGATCTGATGCACTACCACCACAAAAGATGGAGGGGGGGGGCAGAAACCAAGCGGCGTCGCGTAGTGGGTGAAGTCAAGGCGATGGCAGGTGCGGCTAGAACACGAGCAATACTCATCTGTACTGCCATTTTCTGAACGTGTTTTTGCAACTCTTCTCTGTTGAGTTTTGAATGTTGTTCTAGTCAGGATTGACTAAAGGCGGAGTTTACGATGAACAGGCAGTCCATTACAAATCAAGACAGAAGTGTTCAGGTGCCGGGTACATCAAGGCCCAACTCAAGAATGGGTCGACAAAACGCTGAGTCTCTACTCTGGTCGACGACGCAACTCTCCTGGTCAAGAATGAGGGAAGCTTCCATGTTCGGTCTTCTTGGAACCTGGGCATGTTGTATATTCCGTGTTGTTGTTGCTATGCCATACAGGTTGTTACGGTGGAATAGATTTATTCGGTCGACGTTTCGAACAATTCGTCGTCTTCAGGACCTTACTGCTACTCCACCAGCGCCACGCAGCCAACCAATTCTCAATAGATATGAAAAATCATATCTTATTTTGGCGCTGGTGGAGTAGCAGTAAGGTCCTAAAGACGACGAATTGTTCGAAACGTCGACCGAATAA